AATGAGTTGCATTGTGTTGGGTTGGGTTGAGTTGCATTGTGTTGGGTTGGGTTGAGTTGCATTGTGTTGGGTTGGGTTGAGTTGCATTGTGTTGGGTTGGGTTGAGTTGCATTGTGTTGGGTTGGGTTGAGTTGCATTGCGTTGGCTTGGCTTGGCTTGCAATGCATTGGGTTGGAAAGGCAACTTATGGAAATAGTTATGTTGAATAAAGGAAGGAGAGAAAGGAAATCCCACCAGAGATTGTGGGAAAGCAGGATAGAAAGAAATTGATTATAAGTAGACAAAAACACGGGTGTCTGTGTGCAACGGTTTTCTACTTTCTAAACTTCTCACTATCTTCAGCTCAAAAAGGCAGCCTCTTGGAGCCACTTTGGACCAGAAAACCCTACCAGCCTCATCAAACCCATGTCAAAGCTTTGCTTTTGCATCCCGGAGAGCTCATCCCTGGGAAACCTAAATCCATGTGATTCTGTGTTTACCTGTTGTTGTTTTGTTGTTGTTTTTAACTGCAGGGAATAACATCTTGATTGTCGCGCACGCATCCTCCCTGGAGGCCTGCACTTGCCAGCTACAAGGACTGTCGCCGCAGAATTCGAAGGATTTTATCCAGATGGTCCGGAAGGTGATTGACATGCTGACAAGATAAAGCTCTTTAGATGTGGTTTTGTTTGCGCCCAGATGAAAATCTTCTTAGGCGTCCGAACATGCTTTATTCAGTCAGGCGTGATCCCTAAGCTTATTGTCTGAGCACAAGAACCATGTGAGCAGGGAAGATTGCTGGAAAAAGGATTGTCTCATACCTCATTTGGACAACCCATGACGGTGCCCATGAAATTGGGCACAGATATGCACATTTGCAGAGCAATTAATCCAGACTGTGCCTGATAGACTTAGCGTTCCGAAAAGGTTATTTCAGCCTTCGCTTCTCTTTTGCACTTCTATTTTCAATACATATGTTGCTTCTGCGCTCCTGAAACAAAATTATAATTGTGTAGAGCAGGGGTAGTCAACCTTTTTATGCCTACCGCCCACTTTTGTATCTCTGTTAGTATTAAAATTTTCTAACCGCCCACCG